CCCTTCCCAGCCTCTTTCCCCATTTTCAGACGGGGATGACAACACCATCTCAGAAGTAGTAAGTCTTAAATGAGATCATGTACGAAAGTATTTAGCAGAGTGTCTGACACACACAATAGATGCCTAATAAATATTAGATATTTCTTCTCTTCCCCTCAAATCAAATGCCCTTAGAAGCCCAGCATGAGGGATGGCCAGCATCACAGCAGATGATCGGAGAAGGGGCCAGTGACTCTTAGGCTCATTGATGGAACCATGAGATGGGCAGAGACAAAGAAAAAATAAAACAGGAATGACACTCTCCTTGCAATCCGAGCAAAACAGAACACACAAACAAAAAATATTGTCTGTTGGTGTCACAGTGCAATTCAGAGATAGCCCTGAGGAAGAATTTTCTGAAGCATTTTTTGAAGAATTTTGTTCATGGTGAAGGGTGTCAGATAATAGAAGGTGCAAAAACCCTCTTTGAAATTTGATGGGATTTTCAACTCCTTGGGCAAAGTATGGAATTTTTCAAAACGTATTTGGACAAGATGATGGACCATTTAATGCTCTTAGATTTTTGTCCTTTCCATTTTTAGCCTCGTCTTAGAACAAAGGTTTACAAACAGCTTGCTCATGGAATAACCTCAGGTTCCTTCTGAGAGAGAAATGGGGAAGGTCTGATATCAGTGCTTGAGGCAAAAAATCACTTATAATCAAGATTATCCTTGAAGAGCATTGATATCATCCTTAAGCTCAAACATCAACAGTTAGCCAAGAGAATTGAAAGCAGGGTCCTGCAAAGAAATTTGTACACCCATGTTTACAGCAGCATTACTCACAATAGCCAAAAGGAGGAAGCAACCCAAGTGTCCACTGACGCATGAATGGATAAGCAAAGTGTGGTAGAGACATACAATGGTATATTATTCAGCCTTAAAAAGGACACATACTGTAATATGAATATTGAGGCCATTAGGCTAAATGAAACAAGCCCGACACAAATGGACAAATACTGTAACATTTCACTTATATGAGGTTCCTATAGTAGTCAAATTCATAAAGACAGAGAGAATGGTGGTTACCAGAGCTGCAGGAGGAGTGGATGGGGAGTTATTTTTTAATGGCTACAGAGTTTCAGTTGTGTAAGATGAAAAGAGCTCTGGCCACTGGTTAAACAACAGTGGGGATGTACTTAACAACACTCAACTGTGCACTAAATTAAAAAAAAAAAAGTCAACAATTAGCTTCCTTTGTAGTCTTTGTGCATTTAACTTACGAAATTTCAACTACAGGCATCTGCCCCGTATTTAGTCCTGAACTTCCCACCTCCCTCCTCGTTCAAACCAGACTTTTGCCTTTGGAGTCCCCTTTGGCTAAGCACCTGTATTTAAATCCATATGCAAGATGGAGCTCCACCATACCTCTCATTCTTTTCTTACTAATCACACTGGATAGTTGAGGAAATGAAGGCCCTGATGAGAAGCAAGAAGGGTTTGGCCCCTAGACTGAACCTAGCACTTAGATGTCACAAAAAATTCTTTGTGTATGAACTGATGAACTAAATTATAGAGCTCCACATGTATTTTTTTGAGTCGTCAATGCACACACAAAATACATTTGCCCTAATCTAGAATATATGATGTTTGGGGTAGAGTTGAATGAAAGCTGCATTTGCATTGCCCACAGAGAGGCGTTTCTAGGCAATATAGAGCAGTGGTGTCAGCAAAAAGGCGGAGAGTACTGATCAATTTTGGAGAATTCTAATCTTGATTCTTGTAAATTCTGGCTCATAAACAATTGATATCCCATCATCTTGATATAGAAAAAATCCTTCATACCCTTAAAGAATATTTTTAGGCAAGAAATTATTAGTTCTATTAAATATTATATATATGCATATATATATATAGATTTGAAAGAAAGTAGCTTCAAACACTGTACATGTTTGTATCTCCTCAAAGCATACAGCAGTGCTCTGTCCACAGGAAGTAGTCAATACATGGTTATTGAATTTAGAATGTCCTTCTTCCCAATCAGTAAGGTTTAATATATTTCCAATTCAGAATGCCTATTAATTTTTCAGTATTAGTAAGCCTTCAAAAAATCCATCTGGGGATGTGTTTAAGAGTTCACAGCAAATACTACATGATGAAAAGAATACTGTTAAATGAAGCATGCTTATTCAACACACCAGTAGCCATTGATAAAATGTAATTTAATTTAATCATTTAAATTTACATTGTTAATGTACAAGAGCATTTCTTTCAAACCACAGGTTAACACACACTAAAGAGCAATGCTGTTAGAAGAGCAGAGAAACTTTGGAAAACTCTGCTGTCTGAAATGAAAGCAAGGCACTCTCCATTAACAGCTGGTGGATTCCTGATTTCCGCCCACAGAAGGCATGTTCACACTGAGAGAGCTCTCCCACAAGGGAAGAATCACCTGCTTTAATTCTTGCTGTCCTCTTCTGAGCTAGTTGGGTCATCCACTCTGCATAAACTTGTGTGTCAACATTAAGACAAAAGAAGAGAGTTGAATTGATGGATTACGTGGGAGGCTCTCATAGTTCTTACAACTATGGAAGACAGAAGAACACTGGCTATAACCTTTATTTTCAACACTAGTGTTTGGACTTATAACTAAAAACCTTCATTCCTTCCAACGAATCATGGCTAAAAAGTCTTTTCCTTAAATCTGATGGGTGTAAAAATAAAAAGTAACAGCATTTCTCCAGGGCTCTGGTTTTTCTGTTTGTTTTGTTTTTCTTTTATGGACATGACAGAAAACAAGGATTAACTTTCCAATACTAATGGTGCACAAAAGGGTTATGTATGCACAGTATTTCTAATTTATTCAAATTCAATTTGAATTTGGTCTGAAGCTACCTTGTATGAAATGTTAGCTTTCCTGATATTTAATAATGTTTATTATGTTTGCATATACGCTCAAAAAATTAATGCAAAAGTACTACTTTACTCATGGTTATCTGATAAAATGTAAATATTAGTGGTTATTTTTAAAAGCCTGTTTTCCTATAGATGAAATAAGTTGAGTAAAAACACTATGGAAAGGAGAATTAGGTCCTAGTCTTGATTCTGGTACTAGCCTGTTGGACCTGGGCAATTTTTACTTTTTAGTTTTCTCCTCTGTGAGTTTCGAAGGGTGGGGCACCAGTTGACAAGTATAATGTTCCAAGAGCCTAATGTTGCAGACCCTATCACCTGGATATAAAAATAATAATATTTCATAAAAGCTCATACAAACATAATACATGATCAAATATCAGAATGAATCTTGGGGGGAAAAACATATATGCTTTGCTACTGGGTTATCCTTTGCAGCAATTAGGCAATTCATTTGGCATTTGTTTGATTGTATAATTTAATGACAATATAAACAGCATAGTTTTGTTATTTTTTCTTTAAAAAGACTAAAGCAAAAATGACTTAAAGCTAACAAAAACTACTGTGACATCAGTTTGACATTCAAAGTTTGTTTCTTAGCAAAATGGCCAAAGATATTTTGACTTGATACAGAGTATATAATATAAAGACTTTTAGACCTAAAAATCTTCAAACATTATTCGAATTTAGCAAAACATAAGCAAAATTTTAATATCAAAGTGCTAAACAGTACTGCCTTAAAAGTCACTGCAAATGAATCATAAAATAACTGCATGGGAAGTAACATTTATTGTACAAATGGTTAATAAAAAGACACATTATAAATATATATATATATGTAACCTGCTATATTTATATATATATTTGTTTATTTAATTTCTAATTGGTGTATCCAAGTCACTGTGAACACCCCATTTAAGTACTCTGTAACTCAGCTTCCAGGAGCTGGTGGTCTTGCAATAAATACAGGCAAAGCTATTACAATATAACGTGCATACAAATGTTTATACAAATAAGGACACTATGCAACAAATTATTTCATAGTAATATGGCATCGACAGTATAAACATACAAAAGGGAGTACGAACACGGAATGTTGAAACGCAACCCACTAATCCGGTCTAGTAGTCACATTCATACTATTATTTTTTAAGTAAGACTCGCTTGCTCTCCAAAATTGTCCTTGTAACCAATAACAAAAATTAAATTATATATATTTTAAAAATCGTATTACCTCTGGTGTTTACCCTGTATGATCAGTTCCTACTTATTTGTATGTTCTTATTTAGGGATCAAACACTTGAGACTCACTGAATGCTCCTGGGGCTTCTGAATGAATGTGTCAGTCAGTTGCTATTAACTGAAGCAAGTTTAGGGAACTCTGTCTGGGTTGATAGAACACAACCGAAACAGCTGTATGCAATCCATTTTATGATCTGAGCCCCTTTCAGGACAGCTGGACAGTCAGGGCAGAGATCTGGATCCATTAAGAATGACCTAAAATCTTAGATGGACCGTACCTCAGAAGGGTTCTACAGGGCAGGTGGACAAAGCCTCTGCTAGGAAAATTAACATGTGTCATTTGCCAACATGACTGCCTCTTTTTTATTTCCATATAAAATAAAGGAGAGTTAATAAACAAGACTTAGTAAGACAGCACTTTAAAAATTGCACTTGTATATGGAAGCGAACAACCATTATCATTTTGCTATGTCTGATTTATAGGTAATCCTCATCTTTCACCATTTGTTAAAATAAAATAAAGGAAGAGAGAAATTAAGAAGAGAGAATTTCTGCCTTGTTTGCACCACATACATACCCTTGATAGAGGAAGTGTATTCTAAAGATCAACCCTTAAGACACATCCTACCCTGGCGAACAACCCTTGGCTGTTCTTGTTTTTAAATACAAAGCCACTATAATTGTATTCCCCAGAAAGAGTTTTAAAACAGTTATATTATCTTTTTTTTTTTTTCCTGCTGGGATAGCATCGTCCAAAAGTGCTTTGTCAGCAATTTCTTAGAAAACCCTCATGAACTATACCCTCCCCTCCCACACCAACCCCAAAGCCTAAATATAAAACACAACCCCAACACAATACTCTGCAAGTTTTCTGGCTTTAGGTTGTAAGGAAAAGTGCCAGAAAGAAAAAAAAAAGTCTTTTCTACAGGAGCTGCTTTTTCTCTTAAGGAAGGACAGAAAATGGTCGGTGTCCAGACCCATTCCTCTGCTGCTTAGCAAGTAGGTGCTGGCCACTGAGGCGGCTCCCCGCTCTGGCTGCTCCCGTTCAGAAAGGCAGGGTGTCCAGGAAGAGCTTGTCGATGATGGAAGGTGGAGACACCAAGTCTTCCAGCTTCAGGTAGAAGATACGCTGGAGGCCCAGGGTGCAGATCTTGCGCAGTTCTACCAGCGCACCCAGGACCTTGGGCTCACCGGGCTCCAAAGCCCGTCCCTTACTCTGGTGGTCTTTCAAGCTGCTTGTGATCTTGTTGCATAGCTCCTCCACTCTCTTTGGTTCTTTTAACCCATGTCGTTCTGCAGAGGGATAGAAAAGGGCAAGTTCAGGAAGCGGTTACATCTTAAGAGACTTTGTTTTTTTCTGTTCTTGCTTTTCTCTCTCTTTTTTTTTTTAAAGTAGGCTCCATGCCCAACATGGGGCTTGAACTCATGACCCTGAGATCAAGAGTTGGATGCTCTACCGACTGAGCCAACCAGGCACTCCCATCGTTTTTTTTTTTTTTTTTAATTTATTTGAGAGAGAGAGAGGGAGGGAGGGAGCATGAGTGGGGGTGGGGAGGGGCAGAGAGAGAGAGAGAGACAGAAGCAGACCCCCGCTGAGCAGGGAGCCCTATGTGGGCCTCAATCTCAGATTCCAGGACCCTGAGATCATGACCTGAGCCAAAGGCAGATACTCAGTGGACTGAGCCAGCCAGGTGCCCCTGGACAGCCCATCTTAAGAGACTTTGCATCCTGAATTGAGGCCTGTGTCTTCTTCCACCAGTTGGGATAGCATTTTACAATCCAAGCGCCTCCCTCTTAGAGGTAACTGATGGCCTTTGGTATCAAACGGCACCAGGGCTTGAATCCCAGTCCTGCCACTTCCTCGCTGTGTGCCCCTGAGTTAGCCTCTTAATTTCTGAGTCCCAGTTTCCTTATAAAATGAAGGTAATGATCATCCCTAATTTAGGGTTTCTAGAAGGACCAACTTAGGCGAAGCACACCGTTCCTGGCCCACAGTCACACTGAATGAATGACAGAGTGGTAATTATTTTGCAGACATCATCCTACAAAAGCCCTGTCAAGAAGCAACTCTTCTTCAGAGTGACAAAGAAACACATCCAGGCAAATGAATTAATGTTCCCATCTTAACAGGTGGGGAAGGGGGGCGGTCTGTAAGTTCCATTTGCTAATGCAAGGGCTGCCCCACGAGACCAGCATAAAGCACATTTCTTGTGTTTTCATGCTAACCAGCACTGAGAAGAATCCAGCTTTTCTTTTCCTTGTTTTTGGCCCCCCTCGAAACACCTATTGACCTACACCTGGCGCTCTGTACAAAATACACACATCTTCCTGCTGTGGAGATGGAAAAGTCAAAAAGAAAGGAAGAGGCCCAGTGTAGCAAGACATGAACACCTGTATCTCGTATTTTATAAAACAAGATATAAAGGGATCCCCATGTTAAATATTATGATCTCCTATTTTATTTTAAGGTTAAGTGATTTTCCCAAAGTCCCAAAGATTGTGTCCTCCTGCCCCAGAGTAATGTTGTTTCTTTAATCAGAAAGGAGCCTCACGTCCAGCACAAATCACTTTGCTCTCCCTCAGCATTTAGATACTAAAGCCTCTTTACTGAGAGAGGGCTTGGCCCTACTTATTTCAGTCAGGGTTTTTTTATCTCTAATATATTTACATGTAAAAGAATAATTCTTGTGGGATGGAAGACATCCTTCCAAAGGGAAATCAAGCGACCGTGTCTAATTTTTCCTGCATTTATTTCTTCAGTTGGAGGTATGTATTTTTTAATTTTTAAAATTCTGGTATAATGAACGTACAGCATTATATTCGTTTCAGGCGTACAAAAGTGTTCAGTGATTCAACAGTCCTAGACGTTACTCAGTGCTCATCAAGATAAGTATACTCCTAATCCTCAGTTGGGGATATTTTTGTTAGGGAAGTTATTTCCTTAAGACAAAAACAAAAAAGATTCAGTTAGCAAAATGAAGCAAGACCCAGACATTTCTTTCTTCTCTTGCCCTAAATCAAAGGAGGCCCAAGGACCAGGAGTTCTGCACTCTTCCCTAGGTTGGCTAGTTGTGTATGACTTGGGTGAGTTCCTCCCTCTTTAAGGCTTATCTTAAAAGGAGGAGGCTTGGGGTGCCTGCGTGGCTCAGTCGTTAAGCGTCTGCCTTCAGCTCAGGTCATGATCCCGGGGTCCTGGGATAGAGCCCCGCGTCGCGTCGGGCTCTCCACTCCGCAGGAAGCCTGCTTCTCCCTCTCCCACTCCCGCTGCCTGTGTTCCCTCTCTCGCTGTGTCTCTCTCTGTCAAATAAATAAATAAAATCTTTAAAAAAAAAAAAAAAAGGAGGCTGGATGTAATGACCTCTCAGGTCCTTCCAGCTCTGATGTGTTATAATCACATTAAACTACAACCATGAAAATTGCCAGCAGCATCTCTGTTGGATTGTACCTTGCAGGCGTCTCACATAGAGCAGAGGGCACTGGTTGTGCTGCCAGACAGAGCTGAGCTGGGTTTCTGTTCTGGTTACTTACTAGCCATGTGACCTCATCTCTTTGAGGTTCTGTGTCCTTCTAGGACAATGAGGATTACAGGGTGGTAGATATACAAGTCTTTATTGTATTCTTCTTCGTTCCTTTCTGTATGTCTCTTTTTTAAAGATTTTATTTTATTTTATTTAAAAGAGAAAGAGTGTGCATGTGCATATGCACGTAGGCACGTGAGAGTGGGCTCGGGGGGAGGTTGGTGGGAGAGGGGGAGAAGGGGAGAGAAAATCTTAAGCAGGCTCCACGTCCAGCACAGAGTCTGATGCGGGGGCTCGATCTCACAACCCTGAGATCACAACCCGAGCTGAAATCAAGAGTCGGACACTTAACCAACTAAGCCACTCAGGCCCCCCAAGATTTTATTTTTTAAGTAATCCGTATACTCAGTGTAGGGCTCAAGCTCATAACCCTGAGATCAAGAGTTGCATACTCCACAGCCTGAGCCAGTCAGGCGCCCCGTTTTCTGTGTGTCCTAAATATTACACAATAAATTGAAAGAAAAAGCCCAACTACAATAAAACCTACTTCCACGGGTTATTGTCAGGCTTAACTAAGATGCTGCTACGTGAAGGCCTTCTGCCTACGGCAGCGCGTTACACCCGTGGTACAGTCAGTCCCCACAACGGCGCCTGCCGCGTGGCAAACGGCTGGCAACTGCAGGGTCAAACAAAAGGCGGCAGAGTGCCCTACTTCTCAAGCTTTGCAGGGCACGATTTTGCTTTTCCCAGGAAACTATTAGCTAATCAGCCCAGGTGCAAACCTGTCCTCTATGTTTATCTCTACTGCATACATAGTCCCTTTGTTTAGTCTCAAAAGATGTACCCAGGAGTGAACTTCAAGAGAAATTCTGCCTGCAACGGTGTTCTTCCTAAAGTTTTACCCCCCCGCCCCCCAAAACACAAAAAAGCAGACTGCAAGTTTGGCAGTGAACTTCAAGAGCTGTAAAATGTTCATAGGCTCTGACCAAGGAATCCCACTCTTGGGAATTTATCTGAAGGCAAAATTCAGCAGAAGACTAAAACTGTAAGCATGAAGACATTTGGGGTAGCAGTATCTATTTAAAAAATGGGAAAAAGATAAGGGGTGGAAGAATAGGGAAACTGCTAAATGGTATATATGCACATAATGGAAGATTCTGCAGACATCAGAAAGGACAAATAGGAAGGCTATGAAGCAACATGGAAAAAAATATATAATACCACATTAAAGAAAGAATATAAAATAGTATCTAAGCTGTGATGACAGCTATGCAAAATTTATTTCTGCTTATAGAGAAGGGTCAAAGGAAACAGAAAAGTGAGAAAATTTATGAGATTGTCAGCTAACTCTTTTCCTTTCTTTTAAAATTTCCCAGTTAGCAGTATTTGTATATTAACCTGTTAACATAGCACAATCTGGGATTTGGTCTCTCTAGCAGCTGTAACATGATCAAACAGTCATCTTGTGGATAGTAAATTCTATTAATACCAAGCTATATCAAATTAGGTTCACAACTCGGGGAGAGATGCCTTTTCCCGGAATAAAATACCAATCCATTGATTTAAACTTTGCCTTCCTTTCAGTGCCCCATGTCTTGCATTATATTCAAGATCCCGTATTCATCTTCAGGATAAAGAAACGGAGCAAGGTGTTGGCTGCATTTGGGGAGGGGCTTGATTATGGAACCTTATAACTAGACTTTCTCATGGCCAAACTCACAGAAGGTGCCTCAGAGTTTTCCCTGCTCTCCAACCAGTTGTGACTGCTCAATAACTATGGCAACCATTATTTATTCAGTGAATTCAAGTGGAGATCGATCCCTCCCTGCCAGCTGGATCAACCCTAGGCCCGGAATTCCTTGAGGAATTCAGAGACACTCCTGTTAGAAGCCAAAGGCACCTTCTTTGTTGTTTCGAACAGCTACTGGATTTGTGGTTTCTTTACTTTTTCAAAAGGGCTGAGATAAAAATTCAGTCTCCATGCAAATTTCTGCCAGCAGTCAGCGAGATTTCCAAATCACCAGGGAGTCACCAAGTGGCGGGGGACCTTCCCAGTAATCTGAAATTCCTTAAAACCCCAATCACTGACGTTTTAGTTTAAGGGACCTTCTTTCTTTTTGGTGCCTGGTAAACATGGTTGCAGTGCTGACAGACAGAGACTCCATCAAATCTGGGGGAAGTCGGACATTTGGATTTCCCCCTTCCTAGAGAATCACACACAGATTTTCGTGTAAGATCTTTGTCCACCATCAAACAAAACAAGCTCTTCCAGCATTTCTTGCTCTTTGATCTACATCATTTTTATCCAATACTTCTGATTCTGAACTCAGCTTTCTGCATCCAAACCTTTAAGACGCATCTTATAGAAACGGTTAAGTAACGCATTTATGTGTCATGACCGTAGTACATATGAGTTGGAAAGGATCTGAGTGATTTAGTTCACACTCCCACCCAAGACAAAAATCCCTACCGAGACGTCGTCACCAAGACAGTGCCCGGCACCAGCTAGGGAATAACAATATGCTTAGTAGCACTTTATATTATACTCTTCTACTTACCTTATTTTATCACACCCTCTCAACATCCTTGTGAATCAGGCAGGACAAAGATGATCTTTATTTAACAGATAAGAAGGCTTAGGCTCAGAGAGTTAAGTGACTTGCCCACAGTCAAATTTAGCAAATGGCTAATTTATTTTGCTCCAAGTCCAGACATGTTTCTATTATACCAGGATGCCTTGAACAACATATTAGAATGTTCTTCATCCTGAGATGA